CCGGATTTCTCCACTAATTTCTTATTCTCAGCACGATTTTCATAAAGGGAAATCTACAAAAACTAATTTGTTTACACAGATTTTAGTAAAGCTTTTGATAAATTAAACTATTCAATTCTTTTGAATACTTGAAACTTGAACTTCATGGTTTTCAACCAATATTTCTAAAATGGGTTGCTTCTTAACTTAGTAATAAAATTCAACAAATTATATTTAACGATACTTTTTCTGACATATTCCACGGTTTTTAAAACTAAGAGCGCGTTTTGTTAAACTTTGTTCTCAAGAATTTAGAGATCCGCTTACCACGAAAATTCTTTCGTCTTTGGTGACACCTATGTATATTAGAGTATGCTTCTGTCATTTGATTTTTATGACTTATGTCGTTTTTAGTAGTTCGTAGCAGAAAGAAGAGTTTGATATAACTGCGTTATATAACCGGTAAGGGTGCTCAAGGTATTTCTTCTGATCAAATTTGGTTATTATATCTTAAGTGATTTGGAAGATATATAGAAATTAGTGTTCGAAAAAGTTTCTAATAGCTAGAAGGTTTGGAAGTTTCTAATCAAAGCAGTTCACAATTTAATATAGGCTATATTTGGACATAATTTTTAATGAAGCTTGCCACTTGTTTGAAATATTTACATTAGTTAAATTCGGAGAGATGCTTTTCGGCACTGACGGATCTTTTGGTATTGCTCAACGTCAGTTTATACAGCCGTATTAATTTGGCAGGAATACCAAACCCTAGCGGCATAAAATCAGCTTATTTTCGTGCAGTCGAAAGTAGTTGATATAAAGCATACACTTGTGAAGGGTATTATAGCTTGATGTAGCCGAAATTAACGTTTTGTCCTGTTTTATGTTCATTAAAGTATCCTCACTCACAACCACCTCAGACATCACACTCAACTCAACTCAATCAAAATTATTAATCTGGCTGACAAAATACAACCCTTTAGATGCAAGCAAAAGTAAAATATGTGGCAATATTTGGATAATCCACATGCGGAACGGAGAATTTTGGTACCTTGTACTAAAAATAAGCTTATTCAGCGAATAAATACTGAGAGTGTGACCATTTTCTGGTAGCTATATATACCAATATGAATTCATAATAACGACACGAAAACATTGCCTTTTATGAAGTGTCAAAAAACATTTCGCTTAACATATTAGGAGGAAGCTTAAAATTACTACGAGCATTACCGCATGATAGAACCTAACTGGGTTTGAAGTAAATAAGTAACTTGAAGTAAAAATCTAACGCCGTTTTGTTGTAACTTCTTCTTCTCGGTTAAAAATCAGAGAATTTTTCGTAACAAGGAAAAATTTTAATGCAATTATAATATTTTCATTTATTAGAAATTCAGATTATTTGCTCATAATAACTGAAGCAACTAATGATTAATTTGTAGTAGTAGTTGTTGAATTCGCTGCAACAGTTGTGTTGGCAGCTAGAGAAACATACCATTAACAGGGACCACGGCGAAAGCGATAAAGAATAATACCGTAAAGAATTTCATATTCACCAGTAAATGAACTTTGCCAAACTGTTAATATTATTCTGGTACTTTGGCCCTTATATAACAGTTCATGAAAGTGAAATGGCAAAAATTTCAAAACAACTGTTAATGCAATCTTTTATTAAATTAAATAAATAAAATAAAATTATTAAAATAAATAATAGACAGCAGGCTAGACAAGACTAATGGTGCTCCATAGTAAATTTTCATGGTCAATCGTGAACAAATTTTTGTCCTCAGTCGCAGCATGTTGATAGCTTGTCCGCAGATAACAACATAACGACCAATTTCTGAAATAGAGATACTTTTTACAAATTTCATCGACCTTTGTAATAGCGTGATCTATTAAAAACTCATAGATCTGTCCATTAACCGTGCCAGGGCACAGATCAAAAATATAGCAAAGATATTAGCTTCAAATTGAAGTAATAACTCGTTTTCCTAAGTTACGGTATTTACTTGCGGTACTTTCAAATCATCTCACTTTCCGAAAAGTTGGAAAAGTTTCTAAACTTTGTTATTCAGCAACAATTAATTATTCGTTTTCGCAGAACCTTCAGGAGTCTTTTAGAACGTTAGGTTTCATATTTTTAGCATAATAAKAGGCTCTTTGAAGTAGAGAACTTTAACGCGTTGACAATTTTGTAGTCATCCAAGCAACTGTGGTGAATTTCTTGATGATTCTAATCGTTATTGAGTGACTGTACTTTGTACGCCAAAAAAAACAATAATTTTATATTGATATTCACATAAAATTGTTAAATAAAATTATCACTCTAGACCACACGCCCAACCGTATTTAAATGGTACCGCACCGATCAGTACAACAACCATATTGTCTTCTTGTAGAAGTTCACGCAAGTGAGGAAAGTTTTCTGATCGCCATTCACTTGGCAGTGGTCAGAAACGACTATTTTACATATGGCTCAAGCAGATCCCGACTTCCGGTCTTTGACCGATACATGGTCACTCTCTGGGTAGCCTAGAAACATCTCCTCCGCAGGGTTATGCGCTGGATTTGGGACCCGCCACGTAAAAAACGTACCCAATGAAAAAGAACAACAAGCCTCGGATGATTGATCCGCCTTTTGATGACGACTATAGCAAACGAATTAAGGACTATGATTTGAGGGCATGCACCTGGAATGTCCCGTCCCTTAATTGGGAAAGTGCCGCTGCCCAGCTGGTTGATGGTAGAGTGAAGGTTGACATCACCCCTGTCCAAGAAATGCGATGAACGGGACAAGGACTAAAACGAGTTAATCCTTTTAGCATTTACTACAGTGGCCATATAAAGGAGCGCAAATTTGGTGTGGGATTCGTGGTGGGGCAGAGACCTCGTCCCCGAGTACTGTCATTCACCTCAATGGATGAACGTCTAGCCACAATCCGCATCAAAGCGAAGTTCTTCAAAGTATCGCTGATTAGCGCCCATGCCCTGATGGAAGAGAAGGACGATGGGACCAAAGATAATTTCTATGAGCGCTTGGAACGCACATATGAGAGCTGCCCCGCCACGTTATCAAAATCGTGCTTGGCGACTTAAACGCCAGGGTGGACAAAGAAGGTATCTTTGTCACTACGGTCGGTAAATTCAGCCTCCATGAGGAAACTTCCCCAAATGGGTTGAGGCTGATCGACTTCGCCGGGGCCCGAAATATGGTTATCTGTAGTACCAGATTCCAGATACATCAAGCTACCTGGCTGTCTCCGGATCGAAAAACCACCAACTAGATCGTTCATTTTGTGACAGACGGAAGACATGTATCCAGTGTTTTTTATGTGCATGCGCTCCGAGGTCTTAACATCGACTCAGACCACCATCTTGTTGCAGTACCCACCTCTGTGCAGCAAAAAAAGTATGCCAACAAACACAAGAAAGGCTCGACTTCAAGAAGCTGCAATCACAACCGATTTTCTACTTAACTTGCACTCCTGCTTTCTGAGAGCACTCATCAACAACTCGGTATAAGGGAACTGTGGGACGGCATTTCAAGCTCCTTACGTATAGCTGCAACCGAAACCATAGGTTTTCGGAAAATGCAAAAGAACAGCTGGTACGACGTGAGTGCCGTGTTGCACGGAGAAAAACAGACTGCCTACCTCGCAACGTTACGATCGACCACAATACGTGCAAGATGGGATCGATACCGAGAGTTGAAGAGGGAAGCGAAGCACATTTGCAGACAGAAAAAGAAAGAGGCCGAAATGCGTGAGTATGACGAACTTAACAAGCTGGCCGACAAGGCTAATGCACGAAAATTCTACCAAGAAGATGTAGCGGCTAACAGAAGGTTACAAGACCGGAGCATACTCTCCCAAAGGGGTTCGATGCCCAAAGCATACTAAAATTATGGAGGGAACACTTCTCCACCCTAATGAATGGCAGTGAAAGTAGAACGCCAGGATAATACGAACGCGATTGCCCAATCGATGACGATAGAGCAGACGTTCCATTGACAGACCATGAAAAAGTTCGAAGCGTCGGATGCCTCTAGTACTGTCAAAAGAGGTAAATTTTTTCACTTTTATTATGGTAGAATAAAAACAGATCACATCCAATTTTTTTTGCATATTAGCGCGGTTGAATTCCGATATCGCACAAGAAGAAAGAATTTTAAGGAAATATTACGTACAAAATTTGGTCGATATTCGTTAAGTAGGTCCTGAGATATGGGTTGTAACCTAAATGTGCATTATTTTGTCGGGTTTTTAATAGTTTGTAGCAGAACCGTTATATGGGGAGTGCGCGGGTTATCATTCCTTCTTAAAGTGTCGGTAAGGGTGCTCAGTTAATTTTTTATTGAATTAAATTAAGTAGTAATTGAAATAGGCAATATGGTCATCAGACTTTGAAGTTAAAAAAAATGTTTTTAAGGCAAGGGTTGCCATCACATTATTGTAAAATAAACTCACTTTTGTTCAACATTTTATTAAATTAAATTATTAAGCAATAATTGATAAGATCATCAGACTATATATGTAAGTCGAAAATATATTTTAAGTTTGATAGGCTTACCATCGCGATGTGACAAAAAGAACTTCATATTTTTCAAACTTTTATGGTCAAACTGAAATAATTGTAAAAGGGCTAAAGTAATTTTTGAGAATGCGTGCCAACTGTTTCATTTTTTATCAAAATAAATTAAACAATAAACAAAATGTCTAAGATATATTTGTCTATAAATTTCGTTCCAATTTAACTCTTGCGGACGTAGCCTCGTGGCTTCCGAACACCTGTTCAATTTAGATTCGATTGTTGTTGTAAGTTCAACACGGTGTGGGCCACGTATCATTAAAGGTTTATTGAGAATAAGTAATTCAAAAAGAAGTCAAAAAATTGAAAAAAATATTATAATATTTTTAATGACCCACAATCTTCAGGTAATTCACATTATTACATTAAGAATTTGAGAAGAGCTATCTAAAACTGTACATACTACATTACCCTACGAAATAAAAAACACTCTAGAAATTCGCGTACATAATTAATATTTATTTAAGCAGAGATTTATTTAAACAGAAACAGAAAATTTATTGTGGTGGCCGAGTCTCAACAACTTCGTCACTCTCATCACTTTCATCACTGTCTATGTCCTCCGGGTCGTCGTCTTCAGGTGACTCATCAGATTCCACATCCTCGGGTGAATCAACATCTGGCAAGGATTCATCACTATCGCTCACGTCATCGACATTCTCAACGGCGGCATCGGCTTGAGCTAAATCGGATAAGAGAGTAGTAGAGATTTTGTTAAATTTTATTACATTTTAATTTAATTTTTGATACTTACCATTGTAGACAGCAAGAACCAATCCAAAAAGGCAAATTATCACGATGGCTTTCATTTTTAGTTTAGAAAAAAAATGTTGGTTGTATCACTTGTGTTAAATTCTTTCAAACTGATGGCATCGGTTATGTGATGAAAGCTTTATATCGATCCAGTTTCATATGTATTTCTCATGGGATGAATAATACCTTCATACAAAGCAAATATTTGCTTGTTTAAAGATCTCAGAGTACATAAGCATTAGGGTGGTTAATTTTTTATAAAAAAAAAAAATTATAAAAAATTTCGTTCTAACAGAATTGATCCAAAAGTTATATCTT